ACGTGTGACAAGTGTCACCTCCCTGCCAAACCTCCCATTAGCACCCTCATATCTTTCCCTCCCTCCACCTCATCCCCCTTCCTTTATTAACTTACTTTCCTATTTCTACCACCTTCCCCACGCCCTCACTTCTGCCAACTTCCAGACTCCTCTAGAGGCTAATTCTTAAGTTAGGGAGTAGTCTGAAGTAAAACCATTCTCTTCTTCTTGAGACTTAGAGCCTGGACCAGGAGGTGTAGCAGGTGATTCCTTGTTGTGGGAATGTGACCTTTAAATCTGAGCAGCAAAGTTAACACTGAGGCATGACCTAAAGGTTCGTGGCTGGAGCCAGTGCAAATCAGGAAGCGGGAGACCACTGCCACACGCTCATTCAAGTGCCATTTCCAAGGGCCGCAAGTTTTCAACCCTGTGTTTATACCTAATGCTCATGGAAGGGGTGTTAAGGAGAGAAAAGAGAGAGGAAGAGGTGAGGCGGGGGGGGGGGGGGGTAGAGCAGACAGTGAGAAAAGGAAAAGAGGATGAGGGGAAAAAGGAAAACATATGGGGTACAGGCAGAGGGAAAGGCAGACAGGAGGCAATGCACAAGATGGAGAGAGACAAAGGACAATATGTTGCTTGGGCTTATTAGAGGAAAAAAAATTGCCTGCACTAGAAGCACTATTTCTTAATCAAAGCCTTTATTAAGTTTTGGTAATGAAAAGCTAAGTGTTTTTGCGTAGGCTAACGCATCAAAGGGTAACACTTTCTGCACAGGGAAACTGAAGTAGGGTTTGTGCTCCTGTGAGTAGAGTGGGGAAATGGATGCCATGAACGGTGTGGGATTTGGATTAGACCATTCTAGCCCCTGCGCGTACAGAAAGGTCCCTTGAATGGGCAATGACTTTTCATTGTTGGGAGTCCTAAATTGCGGAGACAACTGGAATAGCAGTCTGGGACGCCCAAGCTTATTCTGCCTGCTATCGCTCAGGAAGGGAAAGAGACAAAAGATGTCTTCTGGATTGTTTCCCTCTTCTCGCCACCCACATACCCTACACTGGCTTCTCGTACAGTAGCTATGGGATGGAAGACAGCTGAGGCTACTCAACAAGTGTCCTATGCAACCCAGGTGCTCCTTCCCTCTCTTTTTGTGGCTAAGGTGGGCAAACTCCAAGTTGGTCCTGCTTTCCCTGATACTGGTGGGCATTGCCTCCAGCCACTCTCTATACCCATTAGGTATAGAAAGGACCCTACTGGCCTCAGATGCCCAAGCCCACCCAAGTTTATTGCCACAGAAGCAGTGACTGCCCTCAAGGTAGAAAGATACTTCCTTCTGGCTTTATTTTGACTGAGGAATGTGCCTTCTTTGTGAAGCAATCACAGAGATACATTACAGGGCCAACTTTTACACAACAAGCAAGCATTAAGACCAGACTAAGCAAAAAAACAAAAACAAAAAAAAAAAAACCCAAAAACAAAAACCAGACTAATCATTAGCTGAAAGGATTATGCATTTAGAACTAAAGGGTCATGGGGCGCCTGGGTGGCTCAGTGGGTTGGGCCTCTGCCTTCGGCTCAGGTCATGGTCTCAGGGTCCTGGGATCGAGCCACGCATCAGGCTCTCTGCTCAGCGGGGAGCCTGCTTCCCTTCCTCTCTCTCTCTGCCTGCCTCTCTGCCTACTTGTGATCTCTGTCTGTCAAATAAATAAATAAAATCTTTAAAAAAAAAAAAAAAAAACTAAAGGGTCACAGAAACATTCCCAGATATCCATTGCCAGATGGTAAGGGTTTGAATTTTAGGCAGAAACTGACTTCCTGAAATTAGGTCCAGCTGAAAACAAACTCGCCTGGGATCCAAACTGACAGACACTCCATGTCAGGTCTTAACTGTGCATGAAGACCATACAAAGCAACTAGAGAATTCCATGACATTCCCTTGCCGCACAGCAGCCCCAGCCAATGTGGAGCAGCACCATCCTTGCCCAGACCCTCTATGCCACACGACACTTGGCTTACGCTGGTAAAACCAAGATGGCGACTACCTGGTGTTCTGTCACTGCTCCTCCCCAATCCATGAGAAACTTTGCTATTTAAACACCTTTCCTGCTGAGCTCAGATATGATCTCAGAATCCTTCCACCCACATGTGGGAGCTGGCACGTGTAATGGAAACTATTTGCCCTCCTTGTTCTAAGATCTTCTAGATCTTTAGAACCTATTCCTTCCCAAGTAATTTCTGCATTTCCACAAGTGACCTTCTGCCATCAGTTTTTTTACCTCTTTTAAACCCATAGGAATAAGACCAAAGCTGGGGAATTCAAGATTAGTTATGCAAGAAGAACATTTCTATGAGATACCAATAAAGTATCTGAGGAGAGATTATCTGAAACCTTGAAAACGCCTTCAATTCACGGGTTTGGTCCCATCTACATCTGTGATTTTCAATGGGAGGCAATTCTGACCTCCCAGGGCACATTTGGCGGTGTCTGGAGACAATTTTGTTCTTTCTAATTGAGAGTGCTACTGGCATCTGGTGAGTCAAGGTGAGGGATGCCGCTAAACCATTCCAAGTGCATAGGACAGGCCTCAACAACCAAGAATTAACCAGTCCAATCTGCAAGAGTGTCAAGGTTTAGAGACCCTGAGATATATGATGTCAGAGTACTCAGAGATTGAAAGAATGTTAGAGAACCTCTCATCCAATTCTCTCACATTATAAAGAACCTAAGATCCAGAGAAAGTCTGTGCAGACGACTAAGCAGAATTAGCAAATAACGCCATACACCCTTCTGATGGGATGATAAAACCCGTTTTATATGTGGAGGACAGCAGGCTGTCAGGTCCCCAAGAGTCTATTAGTATAGTTAAGTAGACATCAGAACAACAAATGTTAAGATCATTGGTTCTACGTGTGGGTTGTTGGGTTCAGGTAGTACAGGGGAGTACTGCCATTTTCATACATGTAAGTATCATTCATTCATTTTATCCATTCATATATATTCCTTCAGAAATCATTCATTCATTTTAATGTTTAGTCCACACCTTTTTTCCTAGCTTTTCACTGTGCTGACACAAATAATTCAGCGACCTACAAAGATGGCCTTTGCCTATAAAAGTTGTTTTAAGATTCATTTATTGATTTGAGAGACAGTGATAGCAAGGGGAGGGGCAGAGGGGTAGGGAGAGAAGTCCTCAAGCAGACTCCCCAATGAACGCAGACCCTGACCCAAGGCTCCATCTCAGGACCCCAAGATCATGACCTGAGCCGAAGTCTACAGTCAGTCGCTCAAGTGACTGAGCCTCCTGGGCGCCCCAGAGAAAGTTTTTTGGAGGAAAGGTCTGGACTGAGCTCTGAAGGCAAAGTAGAAGTCAGAAACTTTTAAAGCTGGTCCCTAGTACAGCGTGCTCAGTTTGCTGTGAGCAGCCAGTGTGCCGGAAACCTGGCTACGTGTTCTAAGCCTGAATTAGTTGTTATGTTGTCACTGCTTTTTGGTTTCCTTGAGTCCATGCCCGGTGCCTCATATGGAAATAGTTAATAACAGGCATGTGCCTGCTTTCAGATTTCCACACATGGTAGGTACATTGTGTCTCAGGACACTGTATGCTGAGGTGTGTGTGTGTGTGTGTGTGTGTGTGTGTGTGTGTGTGTATATGTATATATATATGTATATACATATATATATATATATATATATGGAATCAGCTTTTCTCCAGTCTCAGGGCTCTGTTCCTATGAGACATGAAGGCCTCCACCACCTAGATTGCACTGGCTCCCTAGGCCCCTCTCAGCTCCCTTCCTTCCTGCAATCCCAGAACTCTTCCAGCACCAAACACTTGGTATCATCACCAGGAATGGCAGGACAGATAACTAACAAGAACCAAGATGCCAGCCTGAAGCAGGTTCCTTCCTAACCTGCCCGTAACCCACAGGTAACACCTCCTCTTCCCTCCTATCTCAAGGGCTGTGACCTCTCACTCTGCCCTCCCCCAAGCTGTACGAAACCCCTCCATTGCACCTGCAGGCCCCAGAGCTGTGAACACGCCTGTGTATTGTATCATGTTCCAAATGACCACATGAATTCAAGCTTTAATTTCTTCTTTTTCTTCAGCCTACAAAAGGAAGTGCTACATGACAGCGCTCTTTCTCTGTGCTGAGAGTTGACAAAGATCTATGGTTGGGGGAGAAGGTGTTATTTTTATTTATTTATTTATAAGTTTTATTAAAGTTCACCTATTACCCACAGGCCTCAGGCTCCCTATAGAGAAACAAATATCACAACTGAAGGAACGGGTTTCCAAGGCTCCAAATTAAAATAGATGAAAAGGTAAGGAGGGGAAAAAAAAATAAAAACGTTACACTAAGACTTCTTTGCTCCCAAACGCATGGTGCCTTCTCTTATACTGCACACGTGAAATTGACTCTCAATGTAATTAGACCAGGGCTACCAGGCCAAAAAAAAAAAAAAAAAAAAAAATCTTCAAATTATTCAGACCCCCAGAGCTATTCTTTTGCAATCACTCAAGTGACTGAGAAGAGAGCCAACTTTTTAATATAAACTTGTTATTAGAATCTACACTGTCCAAACGATTCCCAACACCCACCTGCCCAAGAATACAGAGTCATGAACTGGGATCAGAAGCAGAAGCAAGAGTCCTGCTTCCCACACGCCCAGTGTCATCACCTTTTCTTCTACAGAACAATCCTGCTAGAACGGGACCTTATTCCAACAGTGCTCCTGTCAGAAGGAACTGAAGAGTTCCTCGGGCCTGCAGAGGACAACACACTCCCTTTAGAGCAAGCCGCCTCGAGGGCATTGCACTCACGCACACCCCTACAGACAGATGCTCACTCTCTCGTTGCAGCCTGGCACTTGGAACAGCCATAACCCCTCTCTGTGTCACCCCCGAAGACCCAGGAATGGCTCTATTGCCTTCCAGGTTGAAAATGAGCCATGGAGACACAGAGAGCATCTCTCACGGAACTCGGAGGGAAAGAAATGACCCCTTTCCAGAAGAGGTGCTTACTGGATTCCAGCAGTACTGCCAGGACTTCAGCGGCTGCCCTGGGGAAAGAGAAAGAAAAGTGAAAAAGTCAATGTTCGATGGTCTTTTTGTCAGCCCATGGATCCCAAAGCCAGCAGGCTCATTGCTGCCACCTAACAGCCGCATTATTAACCACGGAGCAGGCATGCTATTGATTGCACCACTGACCATTAAAGAGGCACAAAGACAGAAATTGCTCCAAGCAAAGTGTCTGTCTTGAAAATGGGTCTCAGGAGTCCCGGCTGCTGCTGAAAATACCTTCCCCTCCCCATCCTGCCTCCCCCCTTCCGCCACCTTCCTTACCCTACGCTTCTTGTATTTCTGTTGTACATCCCTGCCAGGGCTCTTGTTAGTCTCTTGGTTTCTACTTGGGAACCCTGGCGACTCTGGAGGGTGGGCTGGGAGGGGCTGGGACGTGGGCTGAGTGAAAGCGCTGCAGTGAGAACTGCTTCAAACACTCGTGGCCCTGGGGACACACAGGAAAACATTCACAGGTTGGAAAGCAGTGCTGGTTCCTTACGTGGGGGGTGAGGGGGGCAGTTATGTCATGATTTTTCTGTTTCATCCCATGGAAGAATTTCACAACCTTTGCAGCAATGGGAGACAGATGAGAATGAAAATCCTTTGGCCCATGTCTTCGTGACTTTTCAGTTTGTACCCTGAGCCTGAGAAGGTCATACAAAGACCCACTCACTGGACAGAAGAAAACTTCAAGGTTAAGGACACAATGGTGTGATTCTGGAAGGGAAAGTTTATTGCTTGTTTGGTTTTTTTTTTTTTCTTTTTTAAGAAAAGGAGTATTCTGCACAGTTCTAGTAACTCATTCTTAAGGCCTGTTAAAGAGTGATCTGTTTCCCCACCAGCACCCCCAACCCTGAGTACTGGGGGAAAGGTCAACCAGGCTGGATCACCCTTCCAAGATTACAGACATGTAGACAGAGTGGGACCCCCCCATCCAGGACCCGCACTTCCCACCCCTGTTCCCTGCACACCTGTTATTCTCCTGAGTCTCCCACACTGGCCCTGCCCTGATCTCTGCCCACTTGATGAACGACACTCCTCTTTGCAATGTATTATCTAATACTGAGCAACAGAGAGGCAGTAAAAATAAAAATAATGAGTTAAACTAAACTAAACTGAAATAAAAATCTAGCAGTTAGACATCAGGGCTACCCACAACCGACAGAAGAATCCTATGGTATCAGTGTCTGGGACTCACCAGCCCCAATGCAAACCCACGGCAGGGGTGACCCCCAGCTCCGAGAGAGCAGCACAACCACACAGCACTTGGCAAGAAGGTGAGGCTGGTTGTCACCGATGGGCCATTTCATTTATCCTTCCCAATCATGATTTCTTCTAATCACCTTTCGGCTTCTTCAGCCCCTCTCTTTATAACCCCACATGATCTGGCAACCATGAAATTTAAGAAGAAACATACTGAAGGACCCCTGGATGGCTCAGTTGATTAAGTGTCTGCCTTCGGCTCAGGTCATGAGCTCAGGATCTTGGAATCGAGCCCAACACTGGGCTCCCTGCTCAGCAGGAAGTCTGCTTCTCCCTTTCCCTCTACCCCTTCCCCTGGCTTGTGCTCTTTCTCTCTCTCTCTCTCAAATAAATAAATAAATAAAAATCTTAAAAAAGAAACACATGGAAAGAGTAACTGCGAGGCCCAAGGCAGTGTGCAAATCTAAGAGCCACAGTATACAAGGCCAGGGTTGGGCTGGTGCAAGAGGAAAATCAGTCCTGAGGGTCTGGTGGGTAGTAAAGTGGCCACATCAAGGGGGTCAGCAGAGAAGGAAGCATGGAAAGAAAATACCCAGCCCCATCCCGGATCACAGGCCCGGTCTGTGAGGTGACCCTGCGTTTCTGACTTGCACAGCACTTTTGTTTTGGGGAGTTCGCTGCAGAAGTAATGATCCGTTAGATCATAGTTTTATGAGGGACACACGAGAGGTGGGGAGGGGTGGGCAGCAGGCAGACCAGTCAGGACAACGTGAGGCGACAAGGCCAACAGACAAAAGGGTGGCGTGGAGGGAGAATGGAGAAAGAAGGGTTGAAGGGAAGCTTGGAGCCTGGCTGCTGGAAGCGGGAGGCTCCCGAGTGCCATGCTTGGCGGGCTGAATCACAACTTTCATGCCAGCAGGTAAGTTACGTGCACACAAATGTCGGAGAGTGACTGGTGGAGTGGACAGCATCAGTGCGGCTTGGTTACCCTCTGATGCTGACCAGAAGATTCGAGGTGACTCCCAGATCCAAACCCTCTAGAGAATACCTAGTAGCATGACAACCTAGCAAATAATTACGAATCCAGACAGTCACATTATATGGCAGGAAATACATGGTAACTGTCGTAGTAGTCAAAGAGGCGAGGCTGATTCCTGAGTAACAAGAAAAGATTTCCTTCTTCTCAGCTCCTAATTGGGGATCAATACATAATGCAGTGTGGGGCGCCATTAGGGCAGTGATGGACATAAGGTTTGAGACCATAACCCAGTATCCTAAAGAGATCAGGTGTAAGTCCATAGGTAATAAGCCACTGGATTCTTTTTTTTTTTTTTTTTTTTTATCAAAGGGTGGTGGCAAGGATGGAAAAGTGAGGTGAAGGTTATAAGCAAAGAATTCACAGGACTTGAGGACAGGCTAGTTGTGGAGCGCAAAGTAAAGGGAACAGCTGGTGACGGCCCAAGATGCTTAGTCCACGTAAACAGGAGAACAAGAAAGACATTAATCAGCTAAGGAGAGAAACAGAGGTGTTGAGAGAAGATAATCATTTCAATCTGGGACATCCTTAGCTCAGGATGATGGGCACAGAGCTACATGGAACTTCTCAGAATCATGCTAGAAGCACAAATACAGAATTCTCAAGAGATCTGGTACTGGGGATAAGATTCAGGAGTCACTCTAGTAGCAATGACCCTTGAAGCCAAGGGAACAGACAATATCTGTGAAGAAATGCAGTACAGGGTTGGCCCCCAAAGCATCTATGTTAAAAGTCTCAGAGAATATGCAGTCAAGGAGGTAGGAGAAGAGGGGATGAGGGGGTTCTGTTTTGAAACAAAAAAGTTTACCAGTCAGGAGAGGTCCCTGGAGATAAACGAGTCCCCACCCCCAAAACATGGAGAAACAGAATGACCAAATCCTCTCTTGGAACTGAAATATTCTGTAACTCAGATGGCTTTGATCTAGAAATTGCCACCTACAGAGTTTATCGATATTGTTGTTTAATAAATTACCACAAACTTAGCAGTTTCAAACAGTACTCATTTATCTTACAGTTTCCATGGGGCAGGAATCCATGGCTTAGCTAAATTCTCTGTTTACAGTCTTATGGGCTGTAAGCAGATGGGGACTCGGCCAGGGCTGAGTCTCCATCTGAAGGCTCCGCTGGGGAAGGGTCTGCTTCCCCCCTCAACCCCCTCTCGGAGGTTGGCAGTGTCATTTCATTGCAGCATTGGTGCTGAGGCCCCTGGTGTCTTGCTGTCTGTTGGCTGAAGACCATTCTCGGCTTCTAGAGGCTACCTGCAATGTGGGCTTCCCCAACACGAAAACTTTCTTCACCAATAGGGAGAGTTACCACAGTGCGTGTGTCAACAAGACAGAGTCTTGAACAACACAACATCATCACAGCACAAACATGTCCTCACTTTTCTCATATTCTTTGGGTTAGAAGCAAGTCCCAGGACCGCCCCCCCAGCACTCCAGGGGAGCAGAATACCAGGAGATGAGATCATGGGGTGGAGGGTGTCTTCAGTTACATGCACCACACAAAGCTTCTCGCAGTCATTAGCATTCAGGTACCAGGATCCTAATATTCTCCACACCAAGCCAGGACCCTCCCCAGTCCTCCCCTTCCCAGAGAACGTAATACTACTTTTTGAGAAACTGAGCTTACATCTTCCTTAGCCACCTGACCTCACCACCTAAGTCTGGGCACACGCTCAAACTCCTCCATTTTGACGTCTAGACTGCTCTTAAGTTGTCCACTCCTTTTGATTTCTGTTGTTTCTGCCCTAGTCCAAGTGCATGGGCGTCTGGGACCTCAATGAGAAATGTGATTTCTAGAGCTTCTAGAGTTATTAGCCCTTGGTTGAAATTTACAGTTTAATTTCCTGCATAAGAAATGCAAATGAGCTACATGATCATTTTAGAAAAATCAGAAAATACAGTTAAGCATAAAGAAAGGGAATAAATGGGGCGCCTGGGTGGCTCAGTGGGTTAAAGCCTCTGCCTTCAGCTCAGGTCATGATCTCAGGGTCCTGGGATCGAGCCCCGCATCGGGCTCTCTGCTCAGCGGGAAGCCTGCTTCCTCCTCTCTCTCTCTGTCTGCCTCTCTGTCTACTTGTGATTTCTGTCTGTCAAATAAATAAATAAAATCTTTAAAAAAAAAAAAAAAAAAAAAAGAAAACTTTATAAAAAAAAAGAAAGGGAATAAATGAAAATCACCTGACATCACTCCCCTAACTCTGGCCATAACCCCAGGACAAATCCACCCCTATGCACTCTAGGCCCCCTCCAAATTGTTCTTCAAGTTGCAACTAAGGGGATCTTCTCAAGAACACCCGGTTAGGGCACCCTCCCATTGCTACCCCACACCCAATCTTGCTCTTGGATGAAAACCCAAATCCGAAACGTGGTCCAGGAGGATCTACCAAGGCTGCGTGCTGCCATCCCTCCACCGAGCCTTGTCCCACATCACCCTCTCATACGGTCTGTACTTCCACCCTTCAGCCTTTTGCCAAGCTTTGGAACATGTTCCCATCACTCATCCTCTCTCCTTGCTAACGCCACAGCCTAAAATGCTCTAGGCCTTCCCTTTTCCTTCACCTGTATCTCATACCTCGTCCTTCAAATCCTAATTTAGCTGTCACCTCCTCTGGGAAGCCTTCCCTGACTGCCAGTCTAGGCCCAGGTCCTTTATTGGTGTGTTTATCCTTTCTTCCCCCTCTTCTCATTGCACAATTCAATTTGTAATTATTGGCTCATGTGTGTCTATTAATGTCTGACTCCTCTTCCAGTATGC